TTAATTTGTATTATTCATTCTCTTTCATGAAGCATTATCAGTATATTTTACTTAATAAAATCAAATCTATTATTTTTTATAAAGTAAAACCTTTATTTTTCATGCTTTATAATATATAAGTAATGTGGAGTAAAAGCTGTATAACATGAGAAAAAAACTATGAAATTTTCCAACTACTTATATAACTTTTATTCTTTATCTTCTAATATAAGATTGATTTAAACATTTGAACTCATTGCTCAATATTTATAATCATAGAATCCATTTTCTTGAGTTGCAATTTTCATTAGAATTCTTATCTTGAGTTGTCTAATCTTGATGTTTACATTTGTTATATATTTCATCTGATACGAATTAATTTGTATCTTGACATTTTGATCACTTATATATTGATGATTACTTTGGTCAGCTCAGCTTGTTTTATAGAGTAATCTTTAAATACTATAACTTGTAAAATATAATTAGATGCTAAAATAAGTTTATCACACCAAAATTTTATTATTTGGCACAATTACTGTGTTTCTTTCAAAATTAAGAGATTAGGTAAAGTTTTTACTATCCTAACTTGACTTATGATTTATGAAAAATTGATCTTTACCACTTCCTTACTTTGAATTTCTGATTTCTAGTGCAAAATAGGTGGATATCATAAGAATCTCCTTGTACTTTCTAAATAAGGATCACGTATAATTCTTATTTTATGTAAATAATTATCCCATGCATTTGCTTGAATTCTATCAAAATATAAGAAGATGCCTATTTATAATAGTAATTATGATATGTGTTGTCGGATAATTCGATTGCTTATTTAAACACATCTTGATTCTTCTTCTTTAAAACACTTTACAATATTATCAACTTTCAAAACTCTCTTTATACATTGCAAAAGCTTATTCCTGCACAAAAAAATTCACCTAAAATGGATTAGAAGACAAAATTGACATAATTTGTTATCAACAAATATAGTGGATCTTTGACGAGTAAACTAGCTTACCACCAATTTGAGACGCTTTAAAGTATTTATGAACTTCTTTAGAAATGACTTCCAAAAATAAATTATATATTTTTCAGCAAAATCTAAAAAGCTCATGTTAATTTATTGCTAAAAAGGGATTAATTTTGAAAGGAAAGAGTGGATATAACAAATAAAAGTAAAACTGGTTTTCTGGAGAGATTTATAAATGATTTAAAATTTTAATTTTTATCAAACTATGTGAACGCGTCTTAAATATAAATAAACTTCAAACCTTCATTGATTAATATGAGAACACGTTTTGTGCGAATCATGGTATCAGATTATGTTTATCCAATAACGTGCCTGGACACTCACTTTAAAAATCGATTTATACATATATTTCATAATAAATTAGATCAATAAGTTGGATTTCTAGTTATAATTTTAATAGCAAACCTCCCATAACATTTATACTAAAAATATTTAAACTTAAAAATTATATTAAATTTAAAATATTAAGGTTCAATAGACGAAATAAATTTATTAGCCTTGGATTTGAATTTGAAATTAACTAATAAAAAAATAAAAAGTTTTAATATATGCAAAAAAATCAAAATATTTGTCATTTTTAACAAAACTTCTTTAAAAACATACGTCTTTTTAATGGCAATATCAAGATCTTGTGGAGATTTGAAAGTTGAAAACAGCATATTATAATATACCATGCTGTTTTGAACTCTCAAAATTTTAACTCGCTATCCTGGCAAGTCCTGAGGTTGAGGTTCATTTGCCCCAGCAACACGTTGAGGTGGGTAATTTTGTTGCCATTATTTCTTATGGGAGTTCCATTACATCGGTGAGGTGAGTGAGTACGTGATAGATTAATAAGTTGCGTATAAGCTTCTTCTTTTTCTTCTTGTTATTTTTGTCGGTCTGTATTATTAATCATCTAAATAAATTTAAAGTTTAACAGTTGAGACGATTTTATTATATACATAGTTATTTATTAATATTATAATGTTTTAAACAAAAGTTGTGTGGAAAAAAATAAAAGAATGATTTTTGTTTTTTAATTTTTCCCTCCGTTCACCATATTTATATACGTTTCTTTTTTATCTAAAAAAAATTCAGGAGACAAAAATTCTATTTCTAATTTATAACCTATTAAATAAAATAATAAAATTTTTTTCAGGAGAAAAATCTATTATATCACTCTACATTATTATTATCTAATATTTTTTGTCGTTTCGAGTTAATTAAATTAATCATACTTGATTATTTAAAAAATTTTTTTTTTTGTTCCACCAAAATGTAGATATAGATGCAAGAACGTCGTCATAGTGATATAAAAAAAATATTATCATTCATAATTATTTTAAGGCATGGATGAATCATTTTAAGAATCGATTAATCGCGTTCAAGTCTTGTTTAAATAACAAAAAAATCATTTGCCAAATATATTTTTTTAATATATTCTTTGATTCTTTTAATTTTTGCTTCGGGCTGCAGTGATAGGATATCTACAATTTTTTTTTAGGTTTCATTCGGATGTAAATAGTAAGGATTGTTTATCATTCTAATTGTCTTCTTTACATATTTATTTATTTATTTTTTTTTATTATATTTTATATTTTTACAAGTTCCCCCTTTTATTGATTTATTGTTGGGTTATAAATTCTTTTTTTTTTCTGTTTATATTTTCGCTTCACTAATTTTTTTTCATTTTATTTTTTGTTTAGTTTCGTTATTTTTAGTTTTCTACTTTTATTCGGGTCGAGATTTTTTTTTTTTGCCAGTTCTGGCAGTATGGACGGTCTTTTATGACATCATTTTAAGCATTCCTGTCCAATCAGCCTCGATTATAATAATTGATAGCCTATTATAATTTTAATTTGGTTCATAAATGAAAAGTGACAATAAGGATTTTTTTTCCATGAAAATAAAAAAATAAGGATGATTGGAAATTGAAATTTGTTTATTAAAAGGAATTGGATAGAAAATTTTTAATTTACATTAAATTGTAAATTTGCTTGCTCTTAGGTGGCGCATTGATGTCGCGTTGACAAATCTTAAAGAAATATTAACTAATATGGACAATTTGCACTAATTTTTTTTAAAATTGATTAAATTAACATATAATGGAAGGATTTCCCATATATCGACAAATTTTACAAGAATTTACTTCCATTACTTTCGTATTTAAGCGAACTATGTTGAAGTGTCTACAACGAAAAATCGCATCAATTAGTTTATTTTAATATGTAATAAAAGCAAAAAAATAAAATTGTAATAAATAAATATATAAACAATTTTTTATGGTTAAAAATTTTCATGCAATCCCGAAAGAAAATGTTTTTCGAACTATTGGAAACTTTAATCACATATGGATTTTATATCTTCCATAAGAGATAATGAATTATATACTAGGACCAAGCGTCATTTTGATTCATGTACCGGACGGACATTCTTGTGTCACCATGCATAGACCCGCTAACGCTCTGGACTAATTACGATCACGATCTGATAATTTACTAATTAAAAAAAATATATTATTAAAAGATATATATATATCGCTAAACTTCTTGACTTTTTTAGGATGCCCTGAATGATGACAGACCAGTTACAACTCGAAGGTGACCATCCAATTGCAATAAAATAACAAAAATAAATCTTATAATTCATTGATAATATTTAGAGCAGGAATCTTGGTGGGACGATGACTCTTTATGTTTTCATATATTTATTGTATTTGTGAGTTTTCTTTACAATTTTGATGAAAGGTCTTTAATTCTATTGATAATTTGGAAATCATTTTAGATGAGAATGAATAATTATCTAATTTTGAACTTTAACGCTTGCTTTTATGCTAATGGTGTATACGTCACTGAACTATATTTTTGATGTTTGTATGGTTTTATATACACATGATATAAAATTAAAAAAATTATTATTTTAAGTAATCTGGAAACGGGAAAGTTTTGTGCTATTTATCACTACGCATGACATTAAAATTTTTTATGATCACGATTTTTTTTCCTTGTATATTTGAAAAATTGCAAATTGCAAATTTTAAATTTAAATGAAATTTTTAAATTCTAAATATGTGAGATATTACAATGTAACTAGGGATGTGAAACGGTCCTAAACGGTCCTAAAAGTCCCAATAAATTTGCCAGATTTTTATTTTACCGGCGTTACATTTTACTTTCTAATGATAATTTGATAATTGAATATTCATTAAAAATATATATTAAACTTATGCGGGAACCCAGAAACTTAATTTTTGAAACTTAGGACCCGGTCCTAAGTACCGGGTCCCACCTTTGCGGTCCCATGTTAATTGTCAATTCCAATGTTCATATTTCTTTTATAAGTTATTCATAAAATTTATTATTATAATTATTTATCAAGAGTAACTTATTATAGAACAGCGATTAGACTTTTCTATAACTCGTAATTTCAATATTTGTTTACAGTCATTTGGGACCGTTTAACATCCCTAAATGTAACGGTTTCATCACGTTAAGTCTACAACAGACCGGAAACCGTTTGGGTGATTTTAACAACTTTAGAAATAATAAATCACACCAGTTTGTACACAAAAATTTAAATTATAAAAAAATTTTAATACAGGCTAACGATATTTATTAATAATTAAAGCAAATTTATAAAATATACCGCTTGACCTTAATTTCTCATCTCATAATACATGTAAAACAAGGGTTTGTACAGTTCTGTTCTGTTTTATAAAAGTAGATCAGTTGATCACATGCATGATGTATAGAATTTTTGATTTTCAAATTCATATTCGAATATCTTTGTGATTTTTATTGGTCATTATAGTTATTTAATTAATTAAAAGAGTTATTAATACAACAATAGTAGAAATGATAATTTTTAAATTGTGCTAATCGCATAACCGACCCGAATTACTGTTAATAAACCGCATTATTTTAATTTAATTATAAAATACAAATAAATAAATAAATTTTCTTTTTTTTATGAATGAAATTGATTCTAATTTCCCGAAATTCAACTATTTCCACTAGTGACCGGCACAAACTTTTGGAAATTTTTTGGGACACCTTACTTCCTTATATGTCCACGTTGAATTGTTACCATCAACATGTGCGCAATGATTTCCTTCAAGTTTTAGGTGTTTCTCCAGCCCAGGACCCGAATTTTGATGAAGTATCATATGAGGACAATATGGACCATCTGGCACATTATCACGTTTCGTCACCAAACAAGAACCGGAACAATCCATCGGACTTTTGTTGAATAAAACATGACCTTTACAATCCGTTATATAAGCATGACAAGTCGTCCCCTCTTCCAAGGTAGACAAGACATAAAACATATTTGATGCTGTATAAAACCAGAAAAAGTCATTAGAATAGGGAAATGATCAGAATGCTTTTCTATCTTTTCTATCCCAATTTAAAAAAAACCTTACCTTCAGCTATAATAGTTGCTAGGCAACAAATAATGGAGATAGTAAGGACGAAGTAGATAGAGTATTTCATAGTGATTGTCGAGTTGGTTATTGAAAAAATTATATTTTTTTTATTATTTTATGTTTCTTCTGATTGAAAATTTAGAGGCATATATATATTTTTCACACATTTGATCTACATCCAATTCAAAAAAAAAAGTTCATTTCAATATTTCAATATTGCTGCTCACAAATCGGTCTCCTCGTTTGATAGCCAATTTGTTTCAGATTCCGACATGTGAAGCGAAGCAACAACAATAATTAGTATCGAACAATAAAAGTCTAACTCCGAAGTGAAAATCCGTAATATTTTGTTTCGATCGAATTATTTATATTAAAAATTCTTTCTATTCTATATCTCAATCTAGAATTTGCAGTTTTCGGGGAACACTAGTCCCTCAAGCAAGATTGATTTTATGAAACAATATAGATCAAAGATATCTAATTTATAATTGATTATAGATAATTACATATTATTTATATTTCTTTTGAGATCTTTTTTTTAAAAAATTATTATTTTTTATATCAAATAATATCAGCAAGTTAAGTACATTTATTTTATTTCATTTTATTTTTAATTTTTTTTTTTGAATTTAGCGCTATGGTGGCTGTCACCTATAAACAAACATAGTCCGAAATTTTAAAATTCCATTTATTTATATTGTGTAACTTATTAAACTTATTTTTTTTTAGATTACATAGAATTTTATCGAATTTTTGCAAAATCCATCGAAATTTCCTATTATTACTATAGTCACTTAATAATATCATCACACTTAAAATTTCTAATAAATTTTATAAAATAAACCGATAGAAATGCGCAGAACATGTTGATCATTTTATCGGTTTAAAAATTTCTTTATATTACTTAGTTTATGAATTTGTATTTAGGATTATTATCAATATCTTTCATATCTTTCATGTGATTTGCCTAATGATTTTCTGAATTTTTCGTTATTTAATATATGGGTGGCTATTAAAATTGAGGAACGAGACAGTAAATCATATGATCCGTACCTCAACTTCAATAGCACACCCACCACCCAAATATTATTGTAATATGTAATAAATTAATTTATTTAATTATTTATTTAATTATGATAAAAACAAAATATAATTTAAAGTTATTTGTTATTTATTATTTTTTTTTTAAAGATATATTATAAAAATAAATAATAAATGTCCAGTTTATGAATTTTGTATATGGTTGCGTTGAATTTTCTTTTTTTTTTTTTTTTTTTTTTTTTTGATAGATCCAGAACATCAAACGCTAGACTAAGTAAGTTATACTTGCAAATTTATTTCTCAAAGAAAGTAAGGTCGATCAACAAATAGATTTCATACCTGAAAAATAACAAACGTAATTGATAAAAAATTATGTACAGTACATACAAATTAAATTAGTAATACCTGTATTGGAGGTAACTTCTGCAGAATGATGAAATCTCCGTTAATACACTGTTAGCTTTAACGGTTCGTCGTTAAGTTAACTAAGATTATTTGCTAACAGGGAGTTTAAGTTCGTCTAAACTATGGAAGAAATAAA